TTTTTTTTTTTTTTCACAGCTCGAGTTCGACGAGCCATGAAAATAATGCTCGAGCTTGACTTGTAAAACAAATGGAAATGCTTGAGATCAACTCGATGCTCGAGATTGGTTCTCAACTTGAATTCGGCTCGAATTTTAACAATTATAAATTATGCACCTATGGCTATTTTGTGAATTATATATATATAAAGGGTATTCAAGTATTTTGTTGCGTATTTCAAGCCGCTCGACGAGCAGCTCGATCTTTGAAAACTTAGGCTGGATAAGATACTCGAGTCGCTTGAGCAATACTCAGACCTTTGAAAATTTAGGCTGGATAACATACTCGAGTGGCTCGAGCAATAGTCGAGTTGGGTAATAAGTTACAACCTAAAAGAGCCAGTGGAAATAGAAAGGTGGTTTTATTTGTATTTACACCCTTGAAACAGCCATTATAGTTTTCATTCTTGTGTTACAAAAAGAAATTACAGTCCGTACATTGGGTTGTTTGGTGCCCAGATTTTGAAACTCTGATGTCCTGCAGATGTTGAAAACTGCTAGTTAAAGATAAAGTAATCACAACTTGTATGTAATAAGCAAAGTAGCAAACCCATTGGTTAATTACTTGCAAATATTATCATCATCATCATTATTACCATATAACCAATAATGATTTGAATACAAGTTATAAGTTAACCACGTACAAAAGTACTGGTAAATCCAGAGAACAAATGAGGCCAATCTCACCTAACCCAGGGGACAATTAAAAAAGAGAAGCTAGCTATAATCTGAATTAATTAATTCAGATATAAACAAGTCAAACGTAGCATTAAATGCATCAACAGTAGTTTCTACACTAATAAAAGTAGAGTCGACACTGTTGACAAGTAAGGAACAGATAGATACTGAGTTGTCAAATTGTGAGAAGTGTCATCATAATTTGATTTCTACTGTTTAGGCAACCTTGTTGGCTGACAACCTTTTCTTCCACGAGTACATTAATTTCCACTTGTGGTGAAAAACGCTTTTTCCTTTTTCGGGAGGTTTCTTGAGGGAAACCACGACTTTCTATATCCGGACAGCACAACTTTTTCTATTTTAAGGTTTGAAAATTTGGTGGCAATCACAGTTCATTAAGCGATTGACACAAACAAGACGATGAGGAGGAGGGTGAAAAAGGACAAATAAGCCAGATCTGACTAAGTTTTTAGTTAACCCTTCCGTTTCAACTTAATGAAGGACCTTCAAGAAAAGAGCCAAATGAGCTGCATGCAGATAAGAGAATATTATTGCGAGAAAACACACCATTAATGAAACCAAGAGAAGAAAAAAAAAACTTGTTTTAGACCACCCACACCAAATGTCATGCATTTTCATTTGTGTTTGTGCACTCCACAGCACAGCAGCAACTCCTCATTAATCATTGCACTCATGAAGGAAAAACACACACAAAAAAAAAAAAGCTCAATATAATACTATGTAGGTAGACCTGTTTGCCATGCACATATTGTGTTCTTTGAGTTAAACGAGCCAAGCCATTTTAACGAACCGCGTTAACAAGCTCGATACGTAGGACTCGGCTCGGCTCAACTTGATTAACATTTTTTTATCCATAATGCATGAATAAAACTACTCTAATGTTTGTAATTTTTTCATATAAGGATCGAATTACATAAACAGTGGGTAAGATGAGTAGGAACGGTTAATTTTTATAGTTGATGTACCATATGATTTTTGTTGTATTATGTGATCAAATTTTATATATGTCAACCAACCATTATTACTAATATGCATATAATGAATGAATAAATAAACTTTCAATAAACAACCAAGTTTATGGTTGATTTACAGGTCAGCTGTGTGCCTGTGTATGTGTAGGAAAATCAATCTTTCAATTGATAATGGCAGCAATATAACGCTGTCTGCAAATATTTCATATGTCAGATTGCCCTACTCGTACGTCTCAGACTGCTGCTGACTCTTCCCTCCTTCCTTCCTCGGCATTGACAAGAAAACACTGAAACGATAGATGGATCCATCACCCATAAAAATTACTTTCTTTCAGTGCACTGCCTTTTATCATTATTTTTAATTCACACCCACATGTGTGTGTCTGTG